AACGCGCAAATTATATGTCAAAAAACGTTATCTTGTGTTTATGGGCAAAATAACGATTTCTACAGATAACCTGCACGTTAAGATTAACGTTACTGATACATAACGGGGCTGATTGTAAAACGAAATTGTGGCACGCATAAAGTTTGGACATGTGCCGCGAAAGGTTTATGATTTAGTTAAAACACTTCCAAAAATTCCCACGGGAACGGGAACGGGAAAAAAAACAGGATTTTACGTTTTAAAACGTGGGAAAAAATAAATATACACGACATGACTAATAGGCGGTACAAAATAGCCAGGAACGAGTATAAGAAAATAGAACGAAATAACAATAATGCTAACACTGAAGAGTTGTACGAAGTTATAATATAAAGGGTGTCCCAAAATGTTTTAGTAGAATACGCAGGTTTTTAATTAATAGCGGCGATCTTTTAATTGACTCATAAACTATACACGATTATGTACGAGTATGTAATAGCATATAGGGTACGTGGTTTCTAGGGTCCTGATGGCACATATGAACTCTTTTGATGAAATTTCCCATAACCTCGTCGCGCTCCCAGAATTCCCTCGGGCGTGAGGCGATCCAGTCACAGTCCTCGTCCTCTGCGCCCGATATAGAAACGGCTACCTTTCAAGTGCTTCCCCATGAATCCAAAACCAACAACAGGGAAATTAAGGACTCACGTCCTTCCCAGGACCGTGCCAACCACCTGTAGTATACCTGAAACTGAATTTCGATCGGTTTCACCCCTTCAGCTGTCGCTTTTCCTCCTTCGAGTCTGTACCCATATCTTATCCACCTCCAGAATTTAAAGCAAAATTGTTCTGCATTATTTTCTAATTTAACACCATACATTAATTTAAGGTAAGGTGGGAGAAAAAATAGGGAACCTGTAGGTATATAAAATACGTGGGGCGTTGATTCCAAACTTTCCGATTTTTACGACAATTCAACTCATGTATAAAAAATCGCATAAGCCGCAGTGCAATTGTCACTTTGACGGCGGCAAAAGTTACCTGCAACTTTTCCAGCGACAAATGCACTAGTGGTTTTTTCACTTATTCATTTTCGAACCAAATATCGTATTATCCGGTCCCATATGACTAGATGACGTCTGTCAATAATTGATTAGTTTGGTGAATTTCTTGTTCGTTAAATTGTCCTGCCGAATTACACTCGAGGTTTGTATTTAAACCGAGTAAATTTGTGTTGCTGCAATTCAAATCTGTTGCCTTTTAGCAACTGAAGTCGAAAATCTGTCAACCTAAAAATGCTCCACCTTCGGTGTCGCATTTTTATTAGTTGACAGTTTTCCTCGTCTAATTGCTAGGCAACAGATTTTCATTACCTAAACAACCCAAATTTACTCGGTAAAATACAAACCTCTTGTGCAATTATAAGTGATAATTTCACGTGTGGTATTTCAGCGACAATTCAATGCGATTATTCAATGACATTTGTCAAACTTCCACCAGTGAAATGTCGCGAAATTTTGTCGTATTAACCGGAACATTCTTCTTAGTTTGTTAATCAATTTCGACAACCCACTTATCACTACATCTTTTAATTTAATCACTCATAACGAATTAGCTTGGAGCACAAAAGTTCGAATAGAATCGATAGCAAAATGAAAAGCAACTTCCATAATTTATTTTGACGTTTATTGTTGTCATGGAAATACATTCGCGTGGGTAATTATGCTTAATTTTTCTTTTGATTCATTGAATAGTCCTCCGAATACCATTCGTAGTCGAAGTATTTGTAGATTATTTTTGAGCTGCTGCTCCACTCATGCTAGTTACGCTTTTTAATACCACTCGCGCAAGCGCTCGTGGTAATAATCAGCGTAACTAGCATTCGTGACAGCACCTCAAAAATATTCGACAATACTTCGACTACTTATGGTATTATATATGAAATTTTCACACCAACAATTTTCGACCAATGAAATGCAGATTTCGTCTCACGTTATCATGGTAACCGAGGTATTTATCGGAAATTTTTGCCTGCAGGGGTAACCTAGAGCGAATTATAGTGGAAATTTTTTGACGTCATAAGAGAACGTTTTGACATAAAACGTCACTTACCCGCGTTATAAAAAAGTATTTTAGCAGAAATAAACACAATTGGGTAGATATTAAATCCATAATCTTCCATAATCATTGCCAATTCCTCCACAGATATGTTTGCCTTATCAAAAAACATAACTTTTTTCAGAGCAAAAATCAGTAAACTGCTTCCAAACACTTGACTTAGTAGATTCCTTAGTATTCTGGAGCGTTAGGTGCTGAATTTCGCTACGAATAGCTTCCTTATTTTCTTGACCGAATCTATTCACGCTCACAATAAACTTACTGTCAACGGCAATTTCAATTCAAATCTATAAAATGCCATCCAAAGGCTATCTTGATCTACTTTCAAAAAGAGAACAAATCTTGAAATAAGTCGTTGAGGTTCAATACGGTGTGAAATTTTCTTACCGAATACCACACTTCGGCTCGGGTTAATTTTCAAAATATTCGTGAGCTCGAACAAATTTCCGGAAATAATTCAAGCACTAGTGGTATTAGGTACATGTGACAATTACCCGGTGAGCTGATACATGTAGACAAAATAATAGCCGTGGAATAGATTGATCGATGCAATTGATGAGGTTTCAGTCGCCTCACTGGCTGCCTTTTTTTTGTAGCTAACGTTTTATAGTTTTCAGGTAAAATCATATGTACTGCGTCGTGATGGAATTGGTCGTCCGCCAGTCGGGGTCACCATTTTGTCACGAAGTAGACCTACTTAACTTAGGCATTCGAACCCGAATGCATTCACCGATCCAGGGAAACTTACCTATGGATACAATTTGGTCGAACCCGACTTACAAATTAGAGACTTCAAAAATGGTGAAATATCTCACTTGTATAACCCCTCTCGCATATTTGGAAATAGTAAACAATTAATGATTAGTCTTGTAATTTATAAACAAAGATATCATTTGGGGTAATTTAGCTATAGTATAGTTCCCGCTTCCCGCGCGCGCGCAAAAGTGATTTAGAAATCCACCCCGTCAAGCTTTTAAAGGTAAAAAGCATCTAATGATGTTTTTCTGTAGTGTTTGGCCTACTAATTAACCCTCTAAATTCGTCTGTTGATACCGATATCCAAACGGCGCAAAAAAGAAAAACAAGTTAAAAAGTAATCGTAAACGATTTACATAAAGCGCATTTCCACTTGCATTCATTTCCCATTTGTAAGATGCAACTTCTGTTAAAACCGTAAAAATCCGGCCACAAATATGAAAGATATCATTGCACATGGGCAATCCATTGTTGACGTGCTACTTCAATTTCAGTTTATGAGAAGAATTTCATTTCAATGCTTTCTAAATAAGAAAGTTGGAACTGCGCATGCGCAAACCTAAATTTTAAAACTAATTTACTATAACTAACTAATAAACTAAGATTTTCCTTTGTTCCAAGCGCCTAAGTATCAAATTTCACTTAAATAGTTCCATAGATAAAAAAGTTGGCACTGCGCATTCGCAAAATAAAATTTTGAAACTAGCGCTAGATTTTCCTTTATTCCAAGTGCCTATGTATCACATTTCATTTAAATTCTTCCATAAATAAAAAAGTTGGCACTGCGCATGCGCAAAACCAAATTTTGAAATTGGCGTTTGATTTTCCTTTATCCCAAGTGCCTATGTATCAAATTTCGTTTAAATTCTTCCATAAATAAAAAAGTTGGCACTGCGCATGCGCAAAACCAAATTTTGAAATTGGCGTTTGATTTTCCTTTATTCGAAGTGCTTATGTATCACATTTCGTTTAAATTCTTCCATAAATAAAAAAGTTGGCACTGCGCATGCGCAAAACCAAATTTTGAAATTGGCGTTTGATTTTCCTTTATCCCAAGTGCCTATGTATCAAATTTCGTTTAAATTCTTCCATAAATAAAAAAGTTGGCACTGCGCATGCGCAAAACCAAATTTTGAAATTGGCGTTTGATTTTCCTTTATCCCAAGTGCCTATGTATCAAATTTCGTTTAAATTCTTCCATAAATAAAAAAGTTGGCACTGCGCATGCGCAAAACCAAATTTTGAAATTGGCGTTTGATTTTCCTTTATCCCAAGTGCCTATGTATCAAATTTCGTTTAAATTCTTCCATAAATAAAAAAGTTGGCACTGCGCATGCGCAAAACCAAATTTTGAAATTGGCGTTTGATTTTCCTTTATTCCAAGTGCCTATGTATCAAATTTCATTAAAATACTTTTATAAGTAAAAAAGTTTGCAATTCGGTTTATAAATGGTCGAGATGCGAAAAGGGCACTGTGAATTTTGAATCGATTCGATTCAACTTTTGGCATTGCGTATTATATGGCTAAATCTATGCCCATATTGAATTTCATGCAATTCAGTTCATAACTAACGGAGATGTAAAAGCGATCGAACATTTCTAAACAAAGTTATCGTTCACACGGACAGATAGATGGACAGACAGACAAAGGAACAGACGGAGAGACCAACCGGCAGGCGACAGATAGCAATGCAAAATTATAAACGATCTCTAGGATCGTTAATAAACGGCAAAAGTGTAAAATTATGGAACATGTAAAAAACGGTTTTTTGTTTTTTTTACAATAACTTTTTTTGTAAGCGGTACAGAAAAAATTCCTTCCTTGGTACAAGACTCGACACCATAACGAACCAAATAGCGAAAAAAGTAGAACAATAGCTCTTAAGATAAAAAACTAGTAGCGTCGCAAAGTTAGCGGACGGACGGACGGACGGACGGACGGACAAAGTGGCCACAATAGCGCATTTTTTTTTATTTTTGTGGAAATGCGCTAAAAATGGAATTTTTCAAAAAGTTCCTATTTTCAACCAATGTTCTCACAATACCGAATATTTCCGAAACTCTTATGGACGGTTTCAACGAAGCAATTAAGATCAAGATCATACTACACTGATCTTTGACATCCTTAAACACTTTATTTGGAACACTCAACATGAAGTAAATGGATTGTAATTTTCAAGTTTTACGAGCTTTATGCTTTCTTCCCAGAGTTTCTTTGCGTCCTCCATATTCTCCGCTGCACCAGCAGGTTTCACCGTTTCACAATTATAATAATATAAACCCGTTTCTTTACCAGCTTCAACACTGAGTGCGCAGTAGACGATAGTTTGCGCACCCTCTTCGGCGGTTTTAAAGAATCTACCCATTAACAGTCGTATTGCCTTTGATAAGCCTGTAAAATATGTTTTGTTTAAGTGCCGTCCGAGTTCTGTGGAAACAACACCAGGATGCACACTGTAGGTGGACACGCCATCAATGCCGTTCTCTGCAATTAATTCCAATGTAGCTGTCTTTAATCAAATTACAGATATTACCTTCTAATTGTCTAGCAAGCTCTTTGGCAAACAAGATGTTTGCTAACTTACTTTGGGAATATGCACCAAACGCGCTATATTTAGAACGCTCAAAATTCAGGTCATCAAAATCTATTCGGCCAACTGAAACAATGTTTTTAAATTTAATTTTATGTATCTTCCACTTCAATTATACTAGGTATCAATAATAGCATTAACAATAAGCATAGTAAACACGTTTGAATATATAGGTATGAATTTTATAATCAAAAAGGTAAACATTCCATGTGCGTATAATTCGAATTTTTTATTTATAGATGGATTTCTGGATTACGATAGGAGGGTGGACAGAGTCCACGCGTACCTAGGCCTCAAATTCGGGCCCTTTGTACTACCTCCCTGACTAGGTCGTCCGACCCCTCAACGTCACTCAAGCCATCCCACACGTGAGATATGTACCTTATGCGGCTCTAATCGCAGCCATGTCCGGCCAGGATTCCCCTAACATGGATCGTCTCAGTTCGACTAGAGCGGGACATTCACAAAGTATGTGGTGTGCCGTCTCGTCGTCTGTGTAACATCCTTTACAAGATGGTGATTCCACCAAACCTATGCAGTGCATGTGCTTGTTTAGTTTACAGTTCCCAGAAAGTATGCCCACCAGTAACCTAAAGTTCTTCCTTGATAGCCTTGTACAAAAACGCGCCAAGCTACAGATTGTCCTCTACCTCTGAAGGTTTCTCTCGCATGGCGACAATCTAACATCCACCTAGCCCGGTGCTGGGTTTGGGTGTCTTTTTTTTTTAATAATAATAATGATTTATTGTCCAACAGATGTTTGTACATCCAATTACAGAACAATTACAGAAATTAAATATGGCATGATTGAAAAACAAACATAATATACTATAAATTGATTATCAAAAAAAATAAAAAAATAAAGAGATATTTAAATGTAAGGAGACATATATATCTACGAAATGACAAACCAATTAAAGATTAATGAAATAGATTAATTACATCTGATAATGAGCAGATATTTAAATCACATTGTGTGCAGTATTGATTACAATTTTGTGACATCAAACACACTGGCGATTTTAACAGCAAGTTCGTTCTGGGTGTCGGATTAAGAAAAACTAACGGATAGCGACTAGTACGAGGCGGAACATGAAAGTTAAATAGGGACAGTACGCTAGGACAATCAATACGGTTATGTAATAGACCATGGGTAAATTTAAGACTATTGCAAATACGTCTTTTCTCCAATGATTGCAGATTAAACCGGCTAAGCAGTTCATCATAGGGACAACCTCTAGCCGGATAGACACCATCTTGCTTAAACGAAACGTACTTCATAAATCTTCTTTGAATTTTCTCAATTGAGATAATGTGGGTCCTATAGATCGGATACCAGATAAGATCACAGTAATCCAATTTGGGCCTTATTAAAACACAATACAAGGACAACAACGTATCAGTATTTTTAAACGGTTTACTATTACGAATTATGAAACCCAATGTTTGTATAGCTGACGCAGAAATAGCTTGAATGTGGTTTGAAAAATTTAACCGTTGATCAAACACTACTCCCAAATCTTTTGCAACGGTCACACGATTAAGAGGAACAGAGTCAATACAATAATCATACTGAATGACATGCTTTCTAGTATAAGACAATATTTTGCATTTACCAATATTTAGATCCAATCTATTATCAGTACACCAATCATGAATAATATTTAATTGTTCTTGCAGGTGAACACAGTGGCTCTCAGAGCCAATCTTCCGAAATATTTTTAAGTCATCCGCAAATAATAGGCACTTACAGGAGAGTACCTTGGTAATGTCGTTAATAAATAGAAGGAACAAGAGGGGTCCTTGAGGCACCCCAGAGGATGCAATAAAGACTTCGGATTTAAAATTATTATAGCATACATACTGTAGACGATTAGATAAGTATGATGTAAAGAGCAGGCTAAGAGAGTCGCTGAATCCAAAACTTCTTATCTTTTTAATAATTAAGTTGTGATCGATAGTATCGAAAGCTTTGCGGAAGTCTGTGTATATTACATCAACTTGTCCTTGATCATCTAGTACTCGACTTGCAAATTCCGTGAAACAAATAAGATTCGTTGCTGTGGATCTAGAGCGCATGAAACCATGTTGATCGCTTGAAATGTAGTTAACAGGATCGAAAAGCCGAAGCGAAGCTTCGGCTTTTCGATCCTTAAATAAGGAACTCAACCGTTTACTCGATTTTCATTTTTAATTTTTTAATTCCTACGTCGATTGGGATGAAAATTTTATCGTACGCTTTTTAAGCGATTTCGCATCGATTCTGAGAATTTGGTACCTAGGAAAATTCGCAGGGCGGCT